TTTGAAAGTCATTGTTGAGTTTTATATACAAAATTCCATCTTCTTCTTCTTTATCAATAATATGAATGCTATGGATTGTATTAATCACTTCATCCATTGTTTCATTTGGTATTTTAAATTGATTGTACATTTCATTTATGCTGATTCTTTCCGTTAGAAAAATAATTCTTAATAACAAACTTTGACACATTCCAGGTAATAATCGAAATATTTCTGAACATGTCCACTTCGATTTATATGCTGATTTCATGGCTATTTCTGGTAAAACTTGAAAATATTTAATAATGTCTTTTTCTATTATATTATTTTCCATTAAATTTTTAAGTTTTTTTATTTATTTTTTTTTTAATTATGAATGTTGTTATAAAATGTTAGGATGTCCTGTAATGAAGAAGAACCAAATATCAAAACATGATTATGTTTGTAAACAAATATTTAAACACATATTAATTACACATTTTAATGAATTTGATGCAATTGATTTTAATAATCCTCCAAAATGTATTAATAATGATAAAATGATAATAACTTACAATATTGATTTATTGGTTAGTGACCATTCTTTCCATGCTAGAAGACATGATATATATTATCAAAAGATGAAAGAGAAGAAATGATATATTAATATTATAGATGTTGCTATATGTCAAGATAATAATTTAGAAATAAAATATATTCATAAAATAAATAAATACAAAGAATTACAAGAGAAAATAAGAAACAATAGAGAAATAATATATGTAGAAATAATACCTGTAATATTATCAATAAATGGATTAATACATAAAGAATCAGCAAGAAGATTAAAAACACTAAAATTACAATTACACTTCCCCAAAATCCTACGAACAATAATAATAAAAAATATGAAAGACTTAATGTTTTATACAGGAAATTCTGGCAGCACATTAGAAGAAGAACAATCTAATGCGAGCATGCTAGAAATGAACTCTATTACACCAATAGAGCATATTGAAGAAACTGAAATAATCACTTCTCAGTATGAAGAAAATCCAATTGAGGATATATCTATTAATTGACCTTTTTTTTTTTTTTTTTTTTTTTATGAATGTTGTTATAAAACAATTGCATCTATTATTCACATACTGTTAGGATGTAATGAAAAAGAATCAAATATTAAAACATGATTATGTATGTAAACAAATATTTAAACACTTATTAATTACACATTTTAATGAATTTAATGCAATTGATTTTAATAATCCTCCAAAATGTATTAATATTGATGAAATGATTATAACTTACAATATTGATTTATTGGTTAATGACAATTCATTCAATGCTAGAAGATAATATGTACTAACAAAATATGAAAGAAAAGAAATGATATATTATAGATGTTGCTATATGTCAAGATAAGAATATAGAATTAAATTATATTCACAAAATAAATACAAAGAATTACAAGAGAAATTAAGAAACAATAGAGAAATAATATATGTAGAAATAATACCTGTAATATTATCAATAAATGGATTAATACAAAATGAATCTGTAAGAAGATTAAAATCAATAAAATTTCATTTAGACTTCACCAATATAATACATAGCAATACTATTCAAAAATATGAAGGATTTAATGTTTTACACATTCAATTCTGATAATAGAATAGAATCAACTAATTCTCATAAAATTGAAATGAATATTATGGTTTTAACACAACGAAATAATATAAATATTAATTTATATGATTTAAACAAAATTTAATTTTATTTCATTTCAGTTATTTCAATATTCAACTAAGAAAATATTTTTTATGAAAAAAGAAAAACACAAATTGAGATATAAAACAATAAAAGTACAAAGGCACTAAGAAATTAAAAGAACTAAGAAATGACGAAGGAAGAATGGAACGAATTGTTGACCCGATCAACATCACACAAATAAATATTGAGAAATATGGAGAAGGTGTATTTTCTTCAGAAAATCCAATAACATCATCAGCAACAATAGATAAAGATATGGTAATGTTATCAACTAAACAAGGGATATTATTATACAACATCACAACTAGGTCAGTAGACCGTTATTTTTCTGAAGGACCCGTTTTATATAAAATTCATTTAATTCCTGAATATTCGTTAATGGTAGCTCTCAAACTATCACGAATTGTTTTCTACATTTATCAACCACAAGCACAAACACTAAACCAATTTCTTACTCCCATGGTCAGATTGACTACTA